CTTCACAATGGTGAAAAAATCAGGACGATATCTTATGTTGTTTGAGAGTAATAAAGAATTTAAAATAGGGAGTTACTTTTCAATCATCCTGTAGAATAGCTGAAGACAAGGAAGAAAAGGAAAAAAGTGATTCACTCTATACCCATTTCAATTTTTATACTGATCCTTTAATATAATCGACTGTTAATAAATTATATTTACTGATTTTTAAATTTATTTACAAACCTAATTAGTTAATAACCGACCGTTTAAATAATTTACTGATCAATCATTTATTTTACTGACCAATCATTAAATTGACTGATTTTATAATTATCTCATTTACTGACCATTTCATGTATTTTACTGACCTTAAAATAATTCCCCAATTTTTATCAACTGTGTATGAGATGGAAAATTGCGAAATTGTTGATATGTAGGAGACAGAATACTTTTCTTATGTAGATTTCAGCAAAATAAATGCACTGAAAATGCTTCTAACTAAATAATACTACAGCTTAAAGAATGTCGATGTCGATATTTCTTTTTATTGGCCATGCTTGTTTATTCTCACTTGTGCTTTTTTCGTTCTCCCCAAACGGTTCGTCGTGTATTTTTCTCTTTCTTTTTCAACGATTGATGTAGGAGTACAAAACTATTCCTCTTCTCATGTGACTATTTATCATAATTGCATAGCTATTCACACCATTACAAAAGTGCCCTAAAAAAAAATAACATACTCTTTCAAAGAATATACATTACATCAAAAACCGCGTATAGCACGAATACAACGCAACAATGTCTGGCAAGGTTACTCTGTCGATGCATACGTTACCCATTGATTTAGTCTATCGAATATTGGACGAACTCGATCGATTAACCATTGTTCTATCACTTCGTAATGTCTGTAAACGTCTTAATAAAGTCATCGATACCTATCCTCGATATCAGGTAAACTATCGCACATATTTTTTTTGAGGACCGACTCTAACCATTCTCGAAACATTACTTATTTTCCATCATCGAAGTCTATTCCTCTTTGTTCAACTTAATATTAGATCGAATAAGAAAACTAAATTTTTGTAATGCTATTATATCTTGTGAGTGTGGATAAAACATTTCAAATCATTTCCTATAGATTAGTTGACATTTCACTATGAATTCTTTTTAAGAAAAAACTGGAGAACGAAATATTTTCCAAAGCTAATTCATTTGCTTTTCTCGAGGTGAAAAACAGCGTACAACTCATTTTAGGAGTCGTGAGAATTACGGAGCAGTATTCAAGTCAGGTCGAGTCGGGTCACGAAAATTTGATCAATTTCGAGCTTTACATACGACAAAAAGCAATGCCAGATGAGATAATGATTTCCTAATTTCACATATTAAGACATTATACATAGATTCACTGAAAAAGATCTTAGTATCTGGAAAAGACTCTTGATTGGCGAAAAACTATATTAGATCTTAGGTCGGATCACAAAAAATGGACCGATACAATTGGAATACATATTTATACTTATTACAAACGCAGAACTAACTCTTTAAAAACCGTTTATTTTGTTTCGAAATGATGAACCTGAATCGAAATCAAAAACAGGCCATTTTGTAATTCTCAAATGATCGTACCAGTATAGTTACAATACGATAGGCAACAAAACTTGAATTCAGATACATAAGCCTCAAGCACAGCAATAGCGATGAACGCCGGAATAAATCGATCATTTGTAGAGCATGATTATAATTCTCTGCTAATGGTATCGACAAGAAGTCAAGCTATTCGTGACATTCTAGTGAAAAAATGTCAGATTATATTAAATTATCATTAGATTTTTGTGCAACAGAATCAAAATAATAATCGATTGAAATCTTCCAAATCAAAGATAATTTGATTTGTAGTCAAAAGTAATCTTATATAATCGGACATTTTTTTCCACTGGAATGGGTAATAAATAACTTTGACGATTCATTGAGCTGACGCTAAGCAGACATTTAGAATAAATTCCCGTCCATAGATGTCTCGAATGCTTGTAATATCAAATGAATACTGTATATGTATCAATTCTTTCTTTCTTTGTTATTTGTTCCATTCTCTCAATCTTTTTGAAAGATCTGTCATGTATAGGTTTTTTTCTTTTTATCAGTGACCTATATTTATGTTCTATTGCTACAAGACTCTATAAATAAAAGAATATTGAGAACTGCGATTGAAGATTTGGGAGTACATAGAAATACAAGAAAGTACAAAGGGAGCACTGAGGAGTAGCGGAATACGCTGCTTTCCAATTGACAAGAATGCTGGAGATTTATTTTTGTCGATATATCTGCATATGACTTATTACTATAGAAACAGAGCTGTATACATACACATATTGCCACGTCCATAGATATATTCGGTTGTGCACACAAAGTAACATTATTTTCCATGTAAGAGAATAGAGGAGATATCGACCATGAGACATATTTGCTACTCCACGAACATGTACATGTCTATGTCATTGTTCGCATAGATGTATTTAAGGCAGCTTATCTATATAATACTACTCCTTTGACACTCGTTACAACTGTTTCTAATTCCGCGGGCTCCTAATTGAGTCTTGCCTGCTGACATATCTACCGATATATATCGATCCTTAATCGTGGATCTAAGAGGGAACATTTCTTCTTTGTGACAGATATATTGCGGGAGAATTAAATCATTCTGCTGGTGATATATGTGTAGTTCTTCAATTTAAAGGATACGTGTAATCGATTAGAACTACGACAAAGATGATTCAGAGTTCACCATTTATTGTAGATATATTCGTGCAAAAACATATTTCTACCAAAACCTTTTCGGGAGATCTCACAGTTGATACGAAAACTAACAAGAAAAATCATATTTGTCAAAGCAGTTTTAAAAGTATATTGAAAAATGTTGATGTAATACTGGAATGATGACAAAAGCATGATGTTAAATTATCTTTCACAGGTGTAGAGCAATCATCAAAAACCAACTACTTACTCAAGTCTTCTTTTCAAAGTACGAAAAACAGAATTATACATATCCCTTACTGCTTTCACGGATTTAAGTTAATTCAATATTTTCTCTTAAATTTTTATTTGCCCAACACACATCACATCTCAAGTCTCATAAGCCTAGTACTATATTGTATATTAACTCTCTAAATGTAGGATTCAGAGTTTAACATACGCATTTCGACAGCGCATATTCCATTTTACAGAACACTAAAACGACGAGCTGCCAAAAAACCAACATCGAGAGCTCTAGTAAAGGCAAGAAAATGATTCTAAAAGGCCTCATGTCAGACACACTCTCCCATTACAAAATTTTAACCTTTGATAGAAAAAAATCATATAGACGTTCAATGAACTAATGCTAACATGGGGTTCAATGCCTGCTAAAACCATTCGACAACTGGCTAATGCATTAAACAATAATACAGTAAGACGAGTTTGCCTCCCATCTACAATCAACTCATTATTTCGTTTCTCTACAGACACTCACCATGCTCAATCTTTATTCGAATCAGATTAATGAGGAAGGAGCACAGAATCTTGCTCAAGCGTTACAAAATAACACAGTTAAACAAGTTTTCTTCTCATCAAATATAAACTTATCAGGCTATTTACATGCAGACACTCACTATACTAGAACTTCAGTGCAACCAAATCGGTGTTAAAGGGGCACAATACATGGCTCAAGTAATACAGAATAACACAGTAAGACGAGTTTTCTTCTCATCGACTATAGTTTATCATTATCTCTCAACATAGACTCTTACCACACTCAATCTAGCATTCAATAAAATCCAAGATGAAGGAGTAAAACATCTGGCTCAAGCATTACAGACCAATTGGGTTACAGAGCTTATCCTTTCATCAACTTTATATTCATCATTATGTTTCAATATAGACACTCACCAAACTTATCCTTGAGTTCAATGGGATCAATAAGAAAGGGATACAACATTTGGCTGAAGCAATACGAAATAACAAGGTTAGAGCATTTTCTTCTTTTTCATTGTATATTCAACAGTGTATTTTAATACAGACACTTGCCATACTCGACCTTCAGTCGAATTATATTGGTGTTAAAGAGGTACAATATTTGGCTCAAGCATTACAGAAAAATTGGGTCAGATCAATTTTCTCTTCGCCGACTGTATATCAACCGTTCTATTCCAATACAGACACTCGTCACACTCAACCTTGGTTCGAACAGTGTGAAAGCTCAAGGGGCTCAATATCTGGCTCAAGCATTAGAGAAAAATACGGTCAGACAATCTTTTTTCTCATCAAATATAAATTGACCATTGTTTCGATACAGACACTCACTACACTACAACTTCAAAGCAACGATATCGGTATTAAAGGCGCAGAACAAATAGCTCGATCATTACAGAATAACACGGTAAGACCAGTTTCTTCCAATCGACTGTGGATTTACCAATGTATTTCAATATAGACACTTATCACGCTCGACCTTTCCAATAACAAAATCGGTGCTAAAGGGGCTCAACATTTGGCTCAAGCATTACAGAATAATACGGTAAGACAAGTGTTCTTTTCATCGAATATGAAATCACAATTACGTTTCACTACAGACAATCACCACTCTGAATCTCTGTTTCAATGAAATTGGTGATGAAGGAACTCAATATCTGGCTCAAGCGTTACAGAACAACTCGGTGAGATAATTTATTTTTTTTGCCAATAAACTAACTATTGTTTCAGTAAAGACACTCATCACACTTGAGCTTGGAGGGAACAACATCAACAAGAAAGGAACGCAATATCTATCCGAACTATTACAGAAAAACGTGGTCAGATCCATTTTCTCCTCATCAATTGTACATTCACTATTATATTTCAATCCAGACACTAAGCAACCTTAATCTCCGATGCAACAACATTGGTATTAGCGAAATAAAATACCTGGCTGAAGCATTACAGAAGACTACGGTTAGATAAGTTTTATTCGGACTGACGATAATTTCATGATACTATATCAATGCAGACGCTCACTATTCTCAGTCTTGGAAGTAGCGGCATTTACTCTGCAGAAGCACAATATCTTGCTCAAGGATTACAGA